ACCATCTGCTCGGCATTATGCTCTCAGTTGCCAGGCTACCTGCTGTACGCGGCAGCACTTGACTGCCCGGCTCCGCTCGCCTCCCCGCGCCGCCCAGCCCGCGGGGCGGGGAGCGGGGGGCGGGGGCCGGAGGTGGGGGAGAAGGTGGTGGGGAGGGAGGACGGGCCCTGATTAAGCCATCTGCAGGCGGAGGGCGGGGGCGCGGCGGGGCGGGCGGGCCGAGCTGAGCACCGGGCTGACAGTACCATCTGCTGGGCCAGCGGCGGAACAGCAGCTGCTCCTGGTGTGGCGTTCCCTTTCCCCCCCCCCAATCCCTCTGCCGCCCCGCCCACCGGGGCCGCCTGCAAAAGGCTGAGGCCCTGGGCATCCATCCTCCAGCCCGTTCGCCCCCGAGTGCCATCAGCCCAGGCTCATCAGCCTTTTGTGGTCCCTCCCCGGCCAAGGAGCCAGCCGCCTCTGGCTCCCCGCCAGCAGCCCTGGCCCCTCTCACCCAAACACGAGGCGTGTTCTTGAAAACACTTCAGAGGGAAGAAAGCTTCCCTGCGCACAGATTTATAAATAAACAGCTGGCTGCTCTTGGGAGATATTTTTACCGCAGCTGTTTTTTGAAGTAGAAAACGGCCTCTTCGGGAGAGGTGGGGTGGTGTTTTTTTTTGTGTGTGTGTTTTTTTTTACACCTCCTACCTCTCCCAGCCCTTACAAGAATGGCTAAGATCTTTTCCCTGCGGGGGGGAAAAAAGATACGGAAGATAGCTTCACTGGTTTTTATTGTGTAAACCGCCCCGCCCCCCCCCCCCTCCGCTTTATTTTATGGAAGAGGGAAAGGTTTGGGGAGTAATGAAGATCAATGGAACCATTTGGATTGCTGACAGGGAGAGACTGAATGAGGAGACGTGGTAGAGCGCGAGGGAGCTTTTTTTGTTTGGGGTGTGTGTGTGTGTGTGTGTGTGTGTGTGTGTGTTGGTTTTTTGGGGTTGTTTTGGGGGGGGGGGGGGTATGGGGTAGAGAACAAGCCCCATAATTAAAACTAAAAATACTTTGGCATCATTTGGCCTTCCAGTCCTGGTGAGGAAAGCTCGGCTTGGTTTTCTCTAACTGTGCCGCACACACTGACTGGGTGTCCACCGTAGAAATGAGAGCGCGGTGGCATGAAGTCCTGAAATTTGACAGGCAATTGCTCACCAAGCCCTCTTCGCCTGGAGGTGGAAAGCCACCCTGTAATATGAAACAGTTAATGGCCTCATCCAGCTCAGTGTGTGAGGTGAGTCACTTGGTGAAGCTTCACCCTCTGCAGTGCACACCTGAGCCTGGCCAGCCGCTGAATGCAGCAGAGCTGGTTGGGAGAGTCTTAACGGTGTAATTACCCAGATCCACAGTGTTCCACTGGGAAGGCAATCCTTTAAAAATGCAGACAGCCCTCTTTGCCTCTAGGTCCTCAGGCCCTCGGTGAGAAACCTGAAGACAAAATTTGGGGGACGGAATCATTTAGGGAAATACATAATCCTGGGAAGTAATAACCTAACCATTATTTTGAAAAGGGTTTTTTCCCCCACTCTGTTTTTTTAAAAACAATTTTATTGATTTTTAGTGAGAGAGAGAGAGAGAGAAACATCCATTTGTTGTTCCATTTATTTAGGCATTCATTGGTTGCTTCTTGTATGTGCCCTGACCTGGGGATCGAACCCACAACCTTGGCATATCCAGATGATGCTCCCTAACCAACTGTGACCAGGGCCCCCACTGTGCTTCCGCAGTATTTATTTTTGGCACAGAAAGACAGGGGCCGAAAGCAGTTGGATGTGTGGATCAATGTCCTCACCTCACCGTGGCTAGGTTGAGAAAGCAACAAGTCACTACTTACCACTTCTGAGCAAGCCTTCCAGCTTCCCCGGCAGGTCACAGGACAAAAATATCTCAAAGTGCGCAAAAATAAACAGGGCCTGCCCAGACCCGCCCTCCCGTAAAATCAAGCTGAAGAAAACTTTATCTTCCCTTGGGCCTCGTTTTCTTGCCAACTCTCTCCTCTTTATCAAAAGTGGGAAATAAATAGAGTGAAATACACAGGAGGGGAAAGCCCCATATATCAGTATTTCTGCTGATTGGTTAAACTATCCTTCAGTGTGAATTTGTTTAAGTGTTAAGTCATTTAGCCCTTTGATTCCAAAGGTGGGAAGAAACAGGTTTAGCTACTGGAAGGGCTTGGGAAACGGGTAGTAAATATTGGGAGCAAAGGAATGAAACACCTTGGTCCTTCAGGAGTCAAGTAAACCAGTAGCATGAAGGTTCCTGGCATTTGTTAGCATAAGGTCTTTTTAACAGAAAATTGCATCGTCCTCTACCTAATGATTGCCTAAGTGCAGACAAAACACAGAAAGACAAATTTTATTAATTTCAGCAACGACACTTGCATTCAAAAAATAGGACAGAGGAACACTTCTGGGAGACCTCCGATCTATTTTGTCTGCAGGCAGTTCCCAAGTGCATGCTTGGCAGCATGGGCCTCAGGCCTGGGGAAGGCCTGTGCTCGTGGAAACAACATGAACTTGGACTCCAGAGCAGTGTCCTGGTTCTGCTAGTTCTGGTTCTTCCACTGAGTAACTGTGTGACCGGAGCTACTGCACTAACTAACCAGAGCTTTTGGGTTCTTATTTCCCAGGTGAGAGGAGTAACGGTGTGCTGTTTTGTTTTGGTTTGGTTTGGTTTGGTTTGGTTTGGTTGTTTGGCCTGTTTTGTTTGGGTGGTAGAGTGGGGATTAATTACTTGAAACTTGAATGAACTGAAAGGAACATTTCTGGGGAACACTCAGACAACAGGTGCCGTTCCAGGTGTGCCTGAACAGGAACGGCAGTGTCTGCAGACCGAATGCCGTGGTCATACGCCGGCACTCCCAGTGAGCTCTCTTCTCCACTCGTCTGTACTGCCAGCTGTCACAGACCTCCTCACTCAGCACTATCTCAAGTATAGCTTGTGCTGTGTGTAAATAGGCCTCTACCACTTTACTTCCTATCCCTTAAGGACCGATGCTTAAAAGTTGCCATCATTTGAATGACCGACACATAATTAATTATGGAGACCCAATTCAACCCCACCTTTAAATTATCCCAGACCTGCGAGACTCAATTCTCTTCTTGAAGATGTTGGGAGATTATGTATCTACTTTGCACCATTGACAACTCTCACTGGCAGGATTTTTTTTTTTTTAATTTTTTTTTTTTTTTTTTTTTACATTTATCAAAGCTTTCAGATGTCACAATTATAGTTGACCCTTGAGCAACACATATTTGAACTGCACTGGTCCACTTATACACAGTTTATTTTCTTTTCTTTTTTTTTTTCTTTATTGATTAATGTATTACATATGTGTCCTTATATCTGCTCATGCCCTTACCACCACCACCACCACCACCACCCCCAGTGTCTGTGTCCATTGGTTATACTTATATGCATGCATACAAGTCCTTTAGTTGATCTCTCCCCTTTCTCCCGACCCTCCCCTGCCTTCTTTCTGATGTTTGACAGTCTGATAGATGCTTCTCTCTCTCTGGATCTGTTTTTGTTCATCAGTTTATGTTGTTCATTATATTCCACAAATGAGTGAGATCATGTGATATTTATCTCTCTCCAACTGACTTATTTCACTTAGCATAATGCTCTCTAGTTTCCATCCATGCTGTTGCAAATGGTAGGAGTTCCTTTTTGCAGCAGCATAGTATTCCATTGTGTAGATGTATCACAGTTTTTTAATCCAGTCATCTGCTGATGGGCCTCTTAGGCTGTTTACAAATTTTAGCTATTGTGCTGCTATAGGGATACATATATCCTTTCTGATTGGTGTTTCTAGTTTCTTGAGATATATTCCTAGAAGTGGGATCACTGGGTCAAATGGGAGTTCCCATTTTTAGTTTTCTGGGGAAACTCCATACTGTCTTCCACAATGGGTACACCAGTCTGCATTCCCACCAGGAGTGCATGAGGGTTCCTTTTTCTCCACATCCTCTCCAGCACTTGTTTGTTGATTTGTTGATGATAGCCATCCTGACAGGTGTGAGGTGATATCACATTGTCGTTTTGATTTGCATCTCTCGGATGATTAGTGACTTTGAGCATGTTTTCATATGTCCTTTGGCCTTCTGGATGTCCTCTTTTAAAAAGTATCTATTTAGGTCTGTTGCCCATTTTTTGATTGGGTTGTTTATCTTCCTTTTGTTAAGTTATACACAAGTTATTTTCAATAAATACAGTTGGCCTTTTGTATCCCAGATTTCGCATCTGCCAAGTCAGCCAACTGTGGGTCAAAAACAGTATTTTCAATCCACAGTTGGGAATTCATGGATATGGAGGGCCAACAATACGCATTGATCTACACTGTCTCAGATAAGGGACTTGAGAAGCCACAGATTCAGTATCCACGAGAGGGCCTGGAACCAATTCCCCATGCCTTCTGATGAAGGACTCTAAAGTTTTGGGGGAGTCTATAATTATACATGGATTTTCAACTGCACAGGGATCAGCATCCCAAACCCCACGTTGTTCAGGGGTCATCTGTGATTAGAATTCCATCAAACAGCAGACCTGTCAATGAGTACATTGCAGCAAACTTCTGTGAATGTTTTTCATTCTACCTAAGAAGTTCATTTTGGCCAGGTAGGCAGCAAGAATGAGAGGTAAACTCAGGTTGTCTCCTTCAAGACATAACGCAGGCCCAGCCTAAGGGCCTTTGTCCTTTCCTTTGGAGAAACAGGATGTTAGAGGGAAATCCAGTCCTTGTCCCTTAGTCAGTCCCATCCAAAACAGATGGGACTTGGTCTCAGACCCCCTGAGCCATGCTCTGTGACTGTCCCCCCCGGAGCCTCTCCAGTTCCACTGTGACGAGGCCACCTTTGCTGTCTACTGTATTGTTTGTATAAAAACATAAATGTGAGCCCCTCAGGACCCTTTTTCCCTCCCCCATGCTTCCCTTCAAATGTGCAATCACTGAATCGGCCTCTCTGTCCTCCTAGGAGCAGCACCCCGTTGGGCTTCCCCGGACTTCGGGCACCATGCAGTCCTCCGTGCCCCCGGGCTCAAGTGGCATGGTCTCCAGCACCAGCCCCTCGGGTCCGGGCTTCCTGGGCAGCCAGCCCCAGGCGGTCATCATGAAGCAGATGCTCATTGACCAGCGGGCCCAGCTGATGGAGCAGCAGAAGCAACAGTTCCTGCGGGAGCAGAGGCAGCAGCAGCAGCAGCAGCAGCAGATTCTTGCCGAGCAGGTAAGGTGCCCGTGGTGTCCAGGAGGGAGGTACGGGACAGCTCCTTCTTCAAGATGTCCACAGTCTCCCAGGTTCACAGGAGAACCTGCAGAATGTAGACCTTTCCATTAGTTGGACCTTTTCTTAGAGGGAATTAGTTTGTTCTGAAAAGAGAGGCTTCAGCCATCCATTTGAAAGCCCATTTGCCAGAGACGTGTCTCCCGTTGGAGCCTGACTCCTTTTCTTTGGGGGGGAGGGGGTTCTGGTACAGGGGTTGGTGCAATCAGCATGCAGGTGGGAGGGCTGGCTCACATTCTTCATAAGCTCTAATATTTCTAGCAACAGGAAAAAGAAAAGGATTCAGAGAACTTTGTCTCTTAAAAGAAAGTGTTGGGAGGAGGGTTCGAATCGGTCACGAACAATGGAATGGGAACAATAGCAGGATGAAAGGGCCCACGGAACTACCTGGAGGCCTGAACTGGAGGTCACAGAAAGGGGCAAGTTTAAGAACATTCCCAACAGCTTTGAAAACAGCTCGGGAAATCTTTAAGTGAAAGGCAGGCCTAACACAAAGCTTTCCCCGAGGCATCTTTGCCCACCTTCCCCATGTGGCTCCTCCAGCTCTGAAGGAGAGCCCTCCCTGTGGGCTGCTCCTGTCTGCTTCAGTGTGGTTCTTTGGGGGGGTGTAGGGGGTGGTGTTTGTTTTGTTTTTGGAGATGGTTGTGCCTAATTTAGTATTATCCCAGGAAAGGTCTTCCACAAGAGATCCTTACATGGCTCCTATGGGGTCTATACAGGGCATCCCACTTTTTTTTTTTTTTTTTTAATCCTCATGCAAGGATATATTTTCCATTGAGTTTTAGAGAGAGTGGAAGAGAAAGAGGTGAGGGAGAGAAACATCGATGTGAGAGAGAGAGACATCAATTGGGTGCCTCCCGCATGCACCTGTACTGGGGCTGAGAACCTACAACCAAGGTATGTGCCCTTGACTAGGAATCGAACCCCTGGCCTAACGCTCACGGGTCTAAGAGCTGATGCTCTAACCACTGAGAAAACCAGCCAGGGCATGGTATCTCACTTTTATTATAGGAGATGTGAGGTTGTCATCTAAAGCTCAAGGCCTCACAATGACCTTTCTAGAATGTTTCTAATAGGATAAGAATTGTGGGAATTTATCAAGCATCCTCCACCACCTACTGTGTAGGACAAGACATGTTAAGATCTCTACTATCCAAGAGCAGCAGTTCAAAGAAATGCCAGTCATCCCCCAAATAGAAAAATTGTACTGTCAAGCACAGTTCATCTAGGTTCCATTTTTTTGCTTTTGTTCCTGAACAGCTGTGTAATTATCTCCCTTTTCAGCAAGGTCAGTCAGCCGCCTGGCAGCTCTTGTACAAACAAACCTCTATCCCTCTCGCCCTGCAGAAGGTGTGTGACAAGGAACGTGCGAATGTCTCTCAGGCGGTGATAAATGGAGCTGGACTTTGTAAATCCTCTCCCCAGCCAATCCCAGGAAGTTTCAGGTGTGCCTGATCCTTTGAGTGATGGCGTTCAATATGTGTGCTGTGACCAAGCAGAGCTCTGCTGGGCCAGCCCAGGGGAGTGCCCACCTGGTGAGGTCAGCCAACCCTGGAAACAGGGAGGAGGCAGAGGAATGGGAGAGGAGATGCCACAGAGTGACACCCACAGAGTAGGAAGTGAGTGTCAGGTCAGGGGTTCGATTCCCAGTGTCTCTCCTCACCCAGGAAAGGGAGAGACACAAGGCTCCTTGGAAAAGACAAGGAAATGAGAATTTAAAAACGAGGATAATCCCTTGGTGACTGTGTGGACCAAGAGATGATGAGGGACAAAGGGAAGAACAACTCACTCAAGGTCAGAAAGTGTCCAGTCATTGGCCTGTGGCATGGTTTCACCTGCCAGGATAGGTTTAAGTAAGTCCCCAGCCCTCCTCATATCGCTCTTTTAAGGACTGCATGGGATAATGGTGTAAAAGTCTCTGGAAACTGCACAAATGTATATGGGGACCTGTCACATGACCCTGATGTCACAGAAGAGCTGCATTTGCCAGCCATCCTGTGGGACTAGCCCAGGAATAAAACTGAGAAAAAAACTCAGGGCCCTGTGGCACCTTCCCTGAAACTGCAAGGCCGTGCTTCTCCACACAGGCCGCCTCCAGTCTGCACGGTGGGCCGTCAGCTTTGTGTTTTGAAAATGAATGTCGCCATATCCAGGCCAACATGTTTTTTTGGGTTTTGCTGCAGTTGAGTGTCCTTAACACTCTCCATTTTTGTAAACAGCATGTTGGGGACACCTGGCTTTCCTGCAAGGACAGGTGATGGGAAACAGGACTTGCAGTCTTGCTTATCGTAGGGAACTTTAAAATCATTCTCAGATGCCCTAGCCGGTTTTGCTCAGTGGATAGAGCATTGGCCTGTGGACTGAAAGGTCCCAGGTTCAATTCTCATCAAGGGCATGTACCTGGTTGCGAGCTTGATCCCCAGTAGGGGTCGTGCAGGAGACAGCCAATCAATGATTCTCTCTCATCATTGATGTTTCTATCTCCCTCTCCCTTCCTTTCTGAAATCAATAAAAATATTTTTTTAATCATTCTCAGTGGACTTAGAAGTCAGAACAGAGCAGATTGAAAGCAGAGGTGGAGTGACATTTAATGCCCTCCTCTCAGAGCGTGCAGGGCGTGTTGCCTTTGCTGCATTCCCAAAAGTTCCAGAGAACCTAGAATTTTCTACTTGACAGAAACATTAGAGGTCATCGAGTCCCTTCATTTTAAGGATAAGGAAACAGAGGCCCGTGAGCTGAGGTGTCTCCGCGGAGATCACAGGGTTAGAGAGAGACGTGGAGCCGAGATTGGAGCCCCCGCCCCATCCCACCACAGACCACCCCACTGCGTATGGGGTTGTCAGTAGGACAGTAAGTGGGAAACTTGGCTGAGGAGAAGCTTTTATGAGCTCAGCTTACTTTCAAGAATGCCCTTATCTCGCTGCCTAAAAGATTAACACAGTTAATTAATTTTAACAGTTTGTGCAGAACGCCAAGGTCGGCACCTCAGGACGGGGCACACAGGGCAGAGGCTGCTCTCTCCTTTGGTTGCCAGGATGCTGTCTGGCCTTGTCAGGAAAGGAGAAAAAAAGAAAATGGTAGAGCTGCCCAAGAAGAAAAGCAAGAGAGAAAAAATAGAAATCAACACACGTGTTAAGAAGTAGTCTTAACATGTGTGTTGTTTTTATAACGAGCACGCTACAGAGCAGGGCCCTAGTTGTATGTTCTTTGTAGCCCTTCAGATGAAAGGTGCCGAATGAATATTGGCTGCAGAAGGAGGTTAAATGACAGGTCACGCAGCTACTTGATGGCAGACTGAGAACTGAGACCCCTCTCTCTGCTCTCTCCACCTCTTATTTTCTCTCCCTTTTCACATACAGCATGGTAAGGATCATAGTGGCCTTGCCAGAAAATGGGTAATAGCGCTGGCAAAGCAGGTTCCTGTGAGTGGAAGAAGGCAGACTAGCACTGGCACGCATGCCTCCTGGCTCGGGGTCCATGTGGAGCCCACATAGTTTCCTCTAGGCAGTGAATGCTGGGTAGTTTGCCTGTGGGGATGGATTTTATAGGCAGGGTGGCCTCATGGGAATAAGACTGGCCTTTTTCATAGCCCCTGAGAATCCCATCTTCCAATACCTGAAGCATCTATGTAGGTCATTCAAAATGAGTTGCCTGTCCCTCTAAGATCGATCCCAACACAGTTAAGGAAAACCTGCAGGCTGATGATGGAAAGTCAAAGCCGCTTGGCTGGCAGGCCTCATGAGCCAGCACGTCCACCCAAAAGGCATGGACAAGGGTGTTCACAGCTGTGGTATCTGGGTCCAAACTGGACCTGCCCCAAATGACCATTGGTGGTAGAACAGGTAAATTAATTCTCATAGTAATAGGATGGACTACTTCTCAACAGTGAGAATGAATAGACCACAGCACCATGCATCCCATGGCTGAATCTCCCAAATATAATCGCCAGGAGAAACCAGATACCAAAGCCAGACACAAATACATTGTATAAGTAAATCCATAAAACCAAGTACAAAAGCAGACATAACTGATGTGAGTTGTCAGGTTCGGGATGGGGCTCCCCGGGGTCAGATGAAGGGTAATGACCAGCAAGCCCCATATCCTGGCAGTGTTTTGTGTCTTGATCTGGGTACTGGTTACCAGGAGTGGGTTCATTTGTGAAAATTCATCAAACTGTACACATCTGCTTTCTGTACTTCCCTGTATGCATGTTATTCCTCAAGACAAAGTTTAGTTTTGGAAAGAACCCTGCCTTCCTCAGAGTGGCAGGCTATTTAACGACATGCTGTGTCCCCACCTCACCTCCACCCTTCTTGTCCTGTGTTCCAGCAGCTGCAGCAGTCACATGTACCCCGGCAGCACCTCCAGCCCCAGCGGAATCCATATCCCGTGCAGCAGGTCAATCAGTTTCAAGGTGAGGCCCGCGTAGCCAGTAACATTGCCTTGTGGGATATGTTTGTGTCAGGTAATATTACACACTAGAGGTCCGGTGCACGGATTCATGCACATTGAAAGGAAACTAATTAGAAGAAATATTTTAGAAGTCAGGGAGGGACCGTGGGAGGTTGGCTCCAGGGCATGTCTGCCCAGCTCGCCCAGTCCCAATCAGCCTGACCCCAATAACAAGCTAACCTACTGGTCAAAGCATCTGCCCCCTGCTGGTCAACGCATGTCATAGTGACTGGTTGAGACATTGAACGAACCACTGGACACTTAGCCTATTAGGCTTTTATTATATAGGATATTTAAGAACGGGAAATACCAACCAATCAAAAGCATTCTGGAGACCCCTTGCAGTTCCAGGCAACCTTTTGGCCACTGGGCTCCAGAGAGATCCTAGTGGGCTCAGGGAGGAGTCAGGGAGCTGTGGGGGGCTGAAGCAGCTGTTCTTTGCCAAAGTACAAGAAGTATTTCAATAGTTCAACAACCAATAAGAACATACGGTGCCTGTTGGCCCAATATCAGCTTTGTTAATGTCCATCATCTCAGTGACCACAGTGGGGGAAATCTGGTACCACATTTTTCTTTGCTAATCCTAGTAGGTCAGCTGGCCAAAGCCCTCAACTCCAGCAGCCGAAGTAGAAAGACTCTGGCTTGCAGCAACCACTAATCTCTACTGCATATAGAAATAATAATGCCTTGAGGATGGTTGGACCATCTTGATTCTGCTGCCCTTTGCAGAAATCCCAAATCTTGGCCCCCTTAGCAATGGGAGTACCATATGCCATTGTTTCATAAAGTAGAAGGTTCACTCAAGTTTCATCCTTTTCATGTCCATTAGAGAGAGCCCCTGAGGTTCTCATGTGGGGTGGAGGATGAGCCTGAGGACTCTTCGCTTTCTATCCACAGGGGTTCTCAGGGGCTTCCAGGAGCCCCATCAGTGGAAACCCTAATCGCTATCTCCTTCCCTTTTCGTAGGACCTAGTTCAGTGGTCGGCAAACTCGTTAGTCAACAGAGCCAAATATCAACAGTACAATGATTGAAATTCCTTTTGAGAGCCAGATTTTTTAAATTTAAACTTCTTCTAACGCCACTTCTTCAAAATAGACTCTCCCAGGCAGTGGCATTTTGTGGAAGAGCCACACTCAAGGGTCCAAAGAGCCGCATGTGGCTCTCGAGCACAGTTTGCCGACCACTGACCTAGGCTAACATTTTTCAGTCTTTGGATTGCAGCACACAAACAGGTTGTGAAGACAATTATACAAGCCACAGCCAGCATTTTTTCAATGCAACATAATAGAGAAGAAACTGTTCCTCTTATAAGACAGCCAGTGTATGTTCTGGGTCGTGCACTTGAGGTGTCAGTTAGAGAAAAGCCTCCGACACTCACAGCCAGAGCCCAGGAAGCAGGCCTGTGAGCATGTTGACCGGAATAGCTGCCGTTCCCTCCCCTGGACACAGGGAAGGGCGAGAGGGACTGGGCTGTCCACAGGTGTTCTATACTGTAAATTAGGGCCAGAATTCTTTGAAGAATTGTTTCTCACTTGGTCCTGGGTGGGAAGGAGCGGGAAATAGTCATGGATTTACATGGGTAGTCTTTGGTGCAGACATGGGCCCTCCTCTATCCCTGTAGTTCTCCCAGTTCCCCTGCATCAGAATTCCCAACAGAGCTTGTTAAAACACAGACACACACCCCTCCCACCGCCTCCACCCCCACTCAGGGTTCCTCATTTGGGAGGCCTGCAGCGGGACCTGAGAATTTACATTTTAACAAGTTCCCAGGAGTTGCTGCTGCTGGCCACAGTACCACACTTTGAGAACTGGAGCTTTATATTATGAACTTATTAAAAACACTAAATCATATAAACCTGGCATCATGTCCATAACTCATTTTTTGGAATAAAGAACCCACCCCAAGTTAACCTATTATGAATTATTCTGAGTGCTTTGGTTGCAATTTAAAAGTTCTGCTTCTTGCATTTTTCTAAAATCTCAAAACACAGGTAATCAACCTAAAAATTCAGGTACACTTAAGTTAAACAACTCAGTGGGTTCCTGAGCTAAATATATATGAATATCTTCAGTATTCTCATGTATTTACTCACACCCTAAATATCATAATGTTGTATATCTTGGAAAATAGCAAATTGGTAGATAAGAAATATTGTCCTTGGAGAGAAGTTCTGCGTGAGAACCTACACATCTCAAAGGTTTTAATGACTATCTTTCTCTTATTGAGTTCTGTGTCTCTGGGCAATGTCACATTCTATGAGGAAATGTTTATTTTTCACAAATACAGGCATCTTGTGAGGGAAAATAGAAGCTAGACCTTTTAGGGGAAAAAATGTCATATTGACCTTTCTTTTAGAATATGGAAAATTGTCTTCGACATTGTGGCAAGAAAATTAATCTGATTACAGTGTCTCACAGTATAATCTGTTTTAAACAAAAAACAATAAAAGAAGAAAAAGTAGTCTGTTGTTTAGCATATGTAGCAACCAGATAAAGGCAAGTTAATTCTTTGGATGCACCTGATTTTTTTTTTCTATAGTTAAAATTAATGAAAGCATAAAACTAGGTTAATAAAAATTTTTTTGGTTTTCTTGAAAATATGGTGCTGACTGCTGATTTTAAAATGCCCTTTTTTTCTATAAGAATTACACCTAGATAGTGTAGACAGTAACACTAAGTAAAAATAAAGGTTGGCTTGGGTTAATCTTTTAATACCTCTTAAAAAGCACTGCAGCACTTCTGCCCACTTAATAAAGGAACCTAATTCAAAAACAGTCCAGACAATATCCAGTCCTTCAACATGTCCATTATAAACATACAACAAAAATTTCCAAAATATTCAAGTCTTGTTATCTATTTCCAGCAGCTCAGCAGCCTGTGTGTGCAATTTGGGCCTATCTGATCAATCTCTGAGTCAGCAATATTTTTCCTTTAAATTTTTAAATAAGCAACTCAATAATCCATTTCACCACAGTTGATCAGATTGGCCACGAAGTCAATACAAATTTAGTCGTTAAGGTCACAAAACTTCATAACAAGATTACAAGTTGCACTGTATACCAGCATCCAGTATTTAATCAGGAACTTTTGATTTTTTTTTAAATCACTTAGATATAATTAAGCTTAAAACAAACAAATGGAAACATTTCTAAGGATCACCCCCAGATCTTTCAGGTTTCCCCGAAGTAACCTTCATTTTTCAATGCAGAATGATATTGATCTCAAGCCTCAAAAACGTAAGTCAGACTCAAAATTCCCGTAATTTTCTCTCTTAAAGAGAGAAATAATATATGGAGACATATTTGCTGCCCAGAAATCAATACCCCCATCAGGAAGACAAAAACACACTTCAGTTATCCGCCAAGGTGCCAGGCCTAACAAGGTTACACTATTCTCATCTGGTTTCTCAGCTCGGTTCCAGGGAGGATCAAATTTGCTTATAATATCGATTGGCTCCCATGCTGCATCTTTTTTAAACGTCCGGGGAGAAAAAACTATTTTTCTTTGTCTCTTAGACTTAATCATTAGCCAGGGACATAGAACAATCCATCGTGTGCTCCTCGTAGTTCTTCACAGCCTTGACTGGAGCGCAGAGAATGACATTTCTATCCTCCTGACTGGTTTGGAGTCTCCCGGGGAGCAGGTGAGGAAGTCCTCACTCACATGCCCAATTAGAGTAAGGTGACCAGACATCCCCCTTTTGGCGTCTGGTCAAAAGCAGGACGTCTGGTCACCTTAGATTAGAGGGACGTGACTTAGGGTATTCACACTCTGGCCACCTTTCAAACAGCTTCGTTAAAACGCTGTTCGTGATTGGCCGAGAGCCACAGTCACTGCCAATTTCGAGGAGTGGACTTCGCTGGAAAGAGCCATAGAGTCCATTGCCAAGTAGCCAGTAGCAGGATGATTTTTTTTTTTCTCCTAGCTTAAGAAGCTGGCCAGTGTGCACGGACATGTTATGACTCAGAATCTGGAGCACCTGGAAGCCTGCAGAGCGGATCCAGAAAAACATCCAGTCTGCCGCAATAGCTTCTGAGCAGAAGCAGCGGCCTTTAACCTCTCACGTCCTGCTGGTGCCTTCAGGGAAATTAGCCTAATGGTCTTTACTGAGAGTATTCTCTACTGAGCCACGTTCCACTTCGCAGGCAGCACACACACAGCCATGCCATGTCTTAGTGTAGCCTAGGAGGCAGATTCCCTCTCACCCCCAGGAAAAATCCAATCGGTTGAGGATGGCATCCTATCAAGAAGCGTAACAAATAATTTGCCTCTGAAATGTGAACAACAACAAAAAAAATCATCAAGTGAAAGAAGTCAACTCCAGAGGCGAGCATCCAGTGGGATCCCAACCTGTGCATGTGCGTCTGTGTTTATAGAAGTAGTCGTGAGCAGTGGTCCTCTCTGGAGGGTGGGAACGTGGGCAACTTTAGCTTTCATCTTTGTGCTTTTCAGTACTTTCCAGACTTTTCACAATCAGCATGTGTTCTAAGCAGAAAAACAATCATTGTTTCTGTGAGGGGGTGAATCGTCCGAGTAGACCCTTTCCTATGGAGGCATTCTGTGTCTCCCGGAGAAAACCCCAGCACCTGGCACAGGGCACGGCTTTACCAAGACGAGTGAGTGGTGTGTTTCCTTTTCCCCCGCAGGCTCTCCGCAGGACATGGCGGCCGTGAGAAGCCAAGCGGCCCTCCAGAGCATGCGGACGTCGAGGTTGATGGCGCAGAACGCAGGCATGATGGGCATGGGGCCCTCCCAGAACCCGGGGACAATGGCCACGGCCGCTGCCCAGTCTGAGATGGGACTGTCCCCGTACAACGCCACGCCCACCAGCCAGCCGGGAATGTACAACATGAGCCCAGGAATGACCCAGATGCTGCAGCACCCGAACCAAAGCGGCATGAGCATCGCACACAGCCAGGCCCAGGGCCCGCCGAGGCAGCCCGCCTCCGGGCAGGGGGTGGGGATGGTGAGCGGGTTCGGTCAGAGCATGCTGGTGAACTCCGCCATGAGCCAGCAGCACCAGCAGATGAAAGGGCCGGTGGGCCAGACCCTGCCCAGGCCCCAAGGCCCGCCGAGGCTGCAGAGCATCATGGGAACGGTCCAGCAGGGAGCCCAGGGCTGGCAGCAGAGGAGCTTACAGGGGATGCCTGGGAGGACTAGTGGAGAGCTAGGGTCATTCAGCAACGGGGCCAGCTACTCCCTGCAAGCCGGCCAGCCGAGGCTGACCAAGCAACACTTCCCGCAGGGACTGAGCCAGGTCGTGGACGCGAACACGGGCGCCATGAGGACCCTCAACCCGGCCGCCATGGGCCGGCAAATGATGCCACCGCTCCCCGGGCAGCAAGGGACCGGCCAGGCCAGGCCGATGGTCATGTCCGGCCTGAGCCAGGGCGTCCCCGGCATGCCAGTGTTCAGCCAGGCCCCGGCCCAGCAGATGCCCGGTGGCAGCTTCGCTCCCGGCGGCCAGAGCCAGGCCTACGAGCGGACGGCCCCTCAGGACATGCCCTACAGCTACAGCGGGGACACGGCCGCGGCCTCCTTCCCGGGCCTCTCGGACAGCGCCGACCTCGTGGACTCCATCATCAAAGGCGGGCCGGGGGACGAGTGGATGCAGGAGCTCGATGAGTTGTTTGGAAACCCTTAGTCGGGAGGGGGCCCGGCGGGCAGAAGAAACAGGATGTGGGCCCATCCTCGTTTTTTGGGGGTTTTTTTGACCCACGTAAACTGAGCGACACTGCAGCCGGCTGAGAGCGGGAGATCGGGGTGCCAGTCCGCCCCATGGGGCCTCCTTTCACCCCGCGTTCACACAGCAGTCACCACGAGGCCAGGCAGAGCCCGGCTGCCAGAGAGGGAGCAGCAGCAGAGGTGGGCGGGGAAGGCGACCCTGAGCCTCACGCTGCACCCCCTGCTCCGGCCCAGGCGGGCTGCTGCCCGCGGCCAGGGCCAGGCCTCCGTCAGCCCCTCCGGGTCCGGGTGCAGAGCCTGCAGCGTTGGAGACACAAGAGACAGAGCCTCAGGCAGGAGGAGGAGCCCCACAGAGGCTGCTGGGTGGTGGCACAGGCCGAGAGCCCAGGTCACACGTGTGCTGAGCCCTGGCTGCAAAGAGACCTCAGGCTTCAGGACCTGGATGTGGAGAACAGACACACAACGGGGCCGGGCAGGGAGAGCGCAGAGGCCCCCGCAGGCCCGCCTCCTGCCCGTGATGACCCTCAGGAAGGCCGGCGCCGGCGGCGTTGCCCAGGGCTGCCTCCCCAGGACAGCCAGTGAGCTGGGAGGAGGGCCGGGCCCGCCGCTGGGGACCGGGTGGCCACCACTCCCGGTTGTTGGTCTGGAGCCTCCCGGAAGCCCAGAACGACAGACACGTCCAGGCAGTTCCCATCTATTACGGGCGCCACAGGGCGGGGAACCCGGAGGACGCTGTGTCCTGCCCCATGACCGCCTCCCTCCCCCACCCCACTTTCGTCCCTCCCGTGTCTACCCCGGCGTCCTTCCAAGAAGTGATGGCGTTTTTGTCTCTAGGGAAGTTGGGCAGAGTCCAAATAAATGCAAGAGCTTAGGCGATGTCTGAATTGCCAAGGCGACCCTGGAGTGTTCTTTCTCAACCGCGTGTGGAGCTGAGGGGATAGTCTGCCCGGGACTGAGCAGGCTCGGGGGGGCTCACACCCTCTGCACCTGGCACCTCTGGGCACCCAGGGAGGACCTGCCTGGGGGGCTCCCCTGCGGGGAAACCCGGAGGCGATGCACTAAAATCGGCCTTGCCCGTAATCCCTGCTCAGCAGAAAGACAAATCTAAACCCCTGAGGGAGGAGGCGCTGGAATATCAATCACTCCACCTTACCTGTTTTGGTGGCATAAGCGAGAAAGATATGGTCCCTTCCATTCGGGCTGTCACCCACTTCACACGTCCTGCACAGTGTTCTCTGTGTCATTCACTTCAAACTGCCCTCCCTGGAGGCTGCCCAAAGGGATCAGCTAGCTCCTCCATCGTCAGGCTTGTCTCTTATTTACACGGGCCCCCTCCCACCGTCCCGTAGTGGAGGCCACATGGCGTAACCGTTGCCCTGAGTGAGAGTAGCATGTTCTCTTCTCCTCCTACCCTTTCTCTCCGTGTCCGGGAGGCTGGCTCCCTTCGGAGCAGCTCGTCCCCCCTGAGCCCCGGCTGGGGACCCCGACTGGCAGCCCCGGAGGAAAGAAGGTCCTGAGAAGGGAGTTCCAATGGGACATGGGACCGGGGTGGGGGTGGGGGGGGACACACAGAGGATGTAGAGGCAGCCTTGACTTACTCCCCAGGGCCCAGGGTTGCAGATGCATTCAGTGAGGGCCAGGTGGCAGGAGCCCAGGCAGGGGCTGTGCTCTCTCTGGGAGGTGTTAGCAGGGTGACCGTGAGCACCTGCAGGCGGACAGACAACACCAGGGAGGCTCCTGCGTGGAAACAGAAGAAAACCAAAAAAAAAAAAAAAAAAAAAAAAAAGTAAGCAAACAAGACAGAATATATAATTGCCTTTTTCTGAAAGGTACAGGAAGTAAATATATACGCAATGATGAGAGGCGGGAGGTGGCTGGTGGAGGCGTGGCTCTATTCCCTTTGAGAAGCTCCCTCCAAACGCTCAGTCCTGGGACCAACTAACTAGAGAGGTAGATTTTAATAACGTTGTTCTGTTTTTGTTTTTACTACGGTGCTGATGTATATGTAATGTCTAAAGAAGTTATTTGTAAATAAGTTTTTACAATACTGCAGATATCACTGGGTCTACTATCTGTAAAAAAATATATATATACATATAAATATATATATATATATACTGTTTGTTTAAAATAGAGTATTTTTATTTCATCCCTTAACTCATCATCACAGCAGTGGTATTGCACTTCAGATGACATCTAATTACTAATTTGTACTGTATGACCTATGGCAACTTGCTCCATTTTATTCAGATTTTTCTAGTTTTCTCTTTTTACTTTGTACATTGAGCATTGCTTACTTCCTCTTAAGAAATGTACAGAACTCTAAAATGTAGAAATGAAGTGATGTTGACATACCACTTTTAAAGAAAAATAAAATAAAAGATTATCTGAATCAACCCCAAAGTATAGTCTATTTTTGGATTGTCGCTGGATCCCCAACCTTAATTAAGCTGATATATTATGCCTGGGTTGTAATTGATTAACTGCAGTTCTTGTCTCAAAATTTTGATATCATTATTTAAACATTTATGTAATAGTACAGAGCAATCAGTCACTCCCAGCCTTTTTAATTCAGCCACACAACTAAAGCTTTCTAAATTTGTCCTCCGGGGGAGGTGGCAAAGGAAACAGAGTAGCGTCAACTTTGTTTTTTGTTTTTTGGGGTTTTTTTTAATAAATCTTTATTGTTCATATTACAAATGTTCCTCATTTCCCCCCCTCCATTGCTCCCCTCCACCAGGTTCCGCCCGCCCATTGTCCTCATCCATAGGTACACAGTTTATGTTCAGTCTCTTCCTGTACCCACCCCTCCCTTTTCCCTGAGAATCATCAGTTCACTCCCCTTCCATACCTCTGATTCTATTATATTCAACAGTTAATATTGTTCATCAGATTTTTTAAAATTCCCTTGGTTTTTAGATTTACTTGTTGATAGTTACGTATTTGTTGTTCATAATTTTTATCTTTATTTCTTTCTCTTCCAAAAGAACCCCCTTCATATAATTCTGGTTTGGCAGTGATGAACTCCTTTAGCTTTTTTTTATTTGTGAAGCTCTTTATCTAATCTTCGATTCTGAGTGATAGCTTTGCTGGGTAGAGTATTTTTGGCTGTAGGTTCTTTCTATTCATCACCTTGAATATTTCTTGCCATTCCCGTCTGGCCTGCATGGTTTCTGTTGAGAAATCAGCTGACAATCATATGGGTGCTCCTTTATAGGTAACTACCTACTTTTCTCTTGCTGCTTTTAATATTCTCTGTCTTTTGCTCTTGGAATTTTAATTATGTGTCTTAGTGTGGTCCTCTTTGGATTCCTTTTGTTTGGGGTTCTGTGCACTTCCTGGACTTGTAAGTCTAATTCTTTCACCAGGTGGGGGAAGTTTTCTGTCACTATTTCTTTCAGTATGTTTTTGGTAGCTTGCTCTCTCTCTTCTTCTGGGACCCCCATAATTCTGATGTTGGTTCACTTGAAGTTGTCCCAGAGGTTTCTTACATTATCTTCAACTTTCTGGATTCTCTTGTCTTCTTGTTTCTGCAGAGGAGTGTCTTCTGGCTCTTTATGTCCAAATCTTTGACTTGATTCTTGCAATTTTCCATTCTGTTTTTAGGACTCTGTATAATATTTTTTATTTCAGACAATGTATTCTTTATTGTTGATCCCTTTTCATATCCTCATAGGTCTCATTTATTTCTAGGAAATTCTTGAAAAACCTTATAAGCGTGGTTTTGAACTCTACATCCAATCGCTTTTTGTCCTCCATTTCTTTCGTTTGTGATCTGTTTCCTTGTCTCGGCATTTTTGCAGCTTCCCTGAGTTGGTAGCCTTAAAAGTCTCTGTGTTCAGCTTGGATGGGACAGAGATTCAGGGTGGAGTCTACAGCATTGGCTTCTGTCAGCCCCGCCCTATGAGGCTCCTGAGTCTCAGTGTTCCTCAGTGTCCTTCAGTACTCACTGCAAGCACCTCTGAGAGAAAGGTGCCCTCGAGTTTCACCAGTTACCAAACAGTCTAGGCTCTCCCCCAATGAGCCCGGAACTGGGGTTCAGTGCAGTTGGAAGTGGGGTTCAGAGGAGTCTGGAGTTTTTGTCTCCTTCCCGCTAGGGCAATCCAGTGGCACAATCAACTATCCGTTCTCTGCATACAATGTGCGCACCTCCGGGACTTCCTTTCGCCACTCCCCTGGGTTTCTGCCTTACAGCCCAGGCTCCCTCTGTATGAGCCTGGGTCCCCAGGGTCTGGCCTAGAACTGGGGTTCAGTGCAGTTGAAACTGGGGCTCCGCACAGTCCAGAGCTTTTGTCTCCTTCCCGCTAGGCCAATCCAGTCACACAGTCAACAGTCAGTCCTCTGCACGAAATGTGCGCGCCTCCGGGACTGCCTTTTGCAGCTCCCCGAGTAGCGTCAACTTTGAAAGGAACCAGCTGAAGTCCATTTGTGGACTCCGCACATTAACAGTTCACATCCACCTAGTCCATTCAGAGGACTTGGAGAAAATGATAGTAAAAATTGTATTTTAAAAAAGTAAGAAAACTCAAGGAATATATTGGAGGGAAAGTAAGAAAGGGATTTTAGCCCCATTAGAGTGGCCGAGCACACACACACACGGTTTGCCTTACGTTAGTAGTCAGCAAACTCATTAGTCAATAAAACCTAATATCAACAGTACAACAATTGAAATTTCTTTTGAGAGCCAAATTTTTTAAACTTAAACTTCTTCTAATGCCACTTCTTCAAAATAGACTCGCCCAGGCCGTGGTATTTTGTGGAAGAGCTACACTCAAGGGGCCAAAGAGCCGCATGTGGCTCGAGAGCCGCAGTTTGCCGACCACTAACGTCTACTGCCCAGCTGTACCTCTTGGAGGACTCCCTGAGCCAGGGCCTGGCTTAGCCTGCACCCACCTGCAAAAAGAGAACGTGCTTAAACTGCTTCCTGGACAAACCCAGCAATAGGATTTATGTTCCAGAGCTCCCCCTGCAGGATCAAGCAGAGCCTCAGACTTTGCCTAAAGTTGCCTCCTTATGGGGCTTCTTGCCCTTCTCTGCCCTGTTTCCCCAATTCCCACTCTGTTCCCCCACCCCAGGAGCCCTTTGTTCACAGTTCACACACATGTGACTCCACCCCTTCCATTCTAGAAGACCTGCCTAAAACCACTCGGGGAGAGTCAAAAATAGATCGGAAACAAAGGTGCAATGTAATGTACGGAAGCATGGAGACAGGAAGAAGAGGCCAGTCCCACCCTCAGTGGGCCGTGGTTCCAGACTGGCTGGCAAATTATACCATGTGACAGCAGGTAACATGAAAGCGAAAAATGAACAGGATGGGGAGGAGGGGCTAACAGGGAGCTCTGAGAAGGATTGAGCACTCCTAGTCCGGATTAAAACCACACCTTTATGCCCAGCCAATGTGGCTCAGTGGTTGGGCATTGACCTGTGAACCAGGAGACTCACCGTTGGATTCCCGGTCAGGGCACATGCCCAGGTTGTGGGCTCAGTCCCCAGTAGGGGGCAGGCAGGAGGCAGCCAACCAATAATTTTCTCTCATCATTGATGTTTCTCTCTCCCCGTCTCCCTTTCTCTCTGAAATCAATAAAAATATTTTTAAACCCACACCTTTGTATTTAAGTGAAAATGAGTTCTGCACTGGATGAATGAAATAGGTCCCTCCTTTAAAACGAGTTCCTGTATGCCATCCTATTGGCCTTTCTAAAATTCCAGTTCAGTGAGTGAGTGGGTGGAGAGGGGAGAAGGCAGGAGAGTGTTGGGAAGCATGAGACTTGGTTGGAAAGTTGGTAAGGGGTACATTCTGATAAAAGGGGAGTGTGTGGAAGGCCGCCTGCCCTGCTTATTGGAATTCTGACTTAGGGGAGATTTTGCTGCTGAGAATTAAGGAACATTCAGAAGCACTAGATGAGCTATTTCTGCCTCTGGCCCTTTTTTTTCAAGGAAGACTAGAGAAAAAGAGGTGAAAAAACAAATAACCTGATACTTTTCCTTAAGAATGACTTTGTTGGTTACACCCCACCCTCCTCCAACTCTGCAAAGTGCGGAGGGAAAACACCTGGTTGTATAACCAGACCTTATCTTTAAAAAAAAAATTTATATATATATATATATATATATATATATATATATATATATATATATATATATATATATTTCAGAGAAAAAGGGGAGAGGGAGAGAGAGAAACATCAATGATGAGAGAAAATCATTGATCAGTGCCTCCTGCATACCCCCTACTGGGGATCCAACTGGCAACCTGGATATGTGCCCTGACCAGGATTCGAGCCGTGACCTCCTGCTTCATAGGTTGATGTTCAACCACTGAGCCACACCAGCTTTCCCCCTCTCCTTTCCCCTTTGGTTTACTCCTCTGATCTCTTTTCCTTTTGGTTTTAAGTTCTAAGGACATTAGCTTTCCATTCTGGTGTCTTCTGGATGAGCTACCACAGACACCTGTCGTTTTCATGCAACAGGTGGAGGTAATTACGGCAGCATTCACACACGTGGGGCTCACGTGTCCCTGCCTCACCCAGGACAGCTGGCTCTATGGATGCCACAGATTCCAAGTCAAGCATACAGCTGCTTGAAGGATTTGATTTTGCTTAGATTTTTAAACTTTTTTATGAACACTTTCAAAAAAAATCAGAAAAAAACTAATACAATAAATAACTATACACACCTACCAACTTGATTCAATAATTGTTAACATGTTGCCAAAACACGTAATTGCCAGTGTTTTGTAGAACCATTTCAAAGTAAGTTATACACACTCCAGCCAGTTCACCCGCCTCCTCTCAGCTTGCAGCGCCCAAGAATCAGGTGTTCTCTTCCCTGGCCACGTTATCAGTATCACACCTCACATAATTAACATCCATTCCCTAATAGCATCTCATTCTCACTCCATATTCAAATGGTCCCAATTGCCTCCCAGATGTCTTCCATCCTGTTTTATTCTAAATGGAATTTTTGTTGTTGTTAATCCTCATTCGAGGATATTTTTTCCATTGATTTTTAGAGAGTGCAAGGGAGGGGAGGGAGGGCGGGATGAAAGAGACAATCGAATGGTTGCCTTCTGCATGCGCATCCCGGGGGGTCGAACCAGCAACCTAGGTACATGCTCTTGACCAGGAATGGAACCTAAAACCCTCCAATGCGCTTAACCATTAAGCACACCAGCCAGGGCCTGAGGACTTGATCAAGGATCTTATATAGCCATTTGGTTTTTATTCTTCTTAAGACTCTTTTAAGGCAGGAGAGTTTATCTCCATTCCTTTTTTCATAGCATTGACTTCTTGAGACAATAAAACTGATTTCTAAACATAAAACCAATTTAACTAATATGCAAAAGATATATATGTAACTGTCAAAGA